AAGGAATATTGATATTATATTGATATTGGATAAAAAAGTACGGGTAAAAGACTTTTTTACCCTTATGAGTGTATTAGTGTAAAAAGTAATGGCAATTGTGTAATAATGATGAAAAAGTAAATGTAGTTTAATAATGATATGATTATTTATAGAAATGAGACTATCGTTTTGGGACGGACAAAAATGGTAAACAGAACTATTGTATTGAAATGGAGTGAGTATTAATTTTTAAATTAATACAAAATTCTAAATGACCCTTTAGAATGAGACGAATGAAGTAATTTGCAATTATTAATTAATTAAATATGTTACTTCATTCGTTCTAAAATAATAGTTTTATTTTTTTATTTCCGTCGGTCTTAAAGCAATAGTCTTATTTTCAGTTTTAGTAACCAACCTCTCATCTTTTACGAAATCGTCATCACTTTTTTTATAATAATTTTATAAAATATGAATATTTTAATATTTTCAAAACACTTTGTACTAACTATTAATATAATACTTTTTCCGTCCACTTACAATGCTTATATATTTCTATTTTGGGATGTTCAATTACAAAGTTAATATTTCATTAAATATTCTATTTTTTTTCACAAATACCCTTACTTTACATCACATCATTCCTTTTATACAAAAAAAAAGTAAGAACAAAAATGTCATTACACTACTTTTAATTACTCACTATAATTAAAATACTATTATTTCGTAAATACTGCGCCAAAAATAAATGTAAACAGTGGACGGAGAAAATATTATTATTTTTTAATTATCATGTCAATCTCAAATATCCGTATTATTTTGGGACGAAAAGAGTATTTCATATTTCAAAATAAATACTATACTATTCAAAATAATAAGTAGCTGTCATATGGCTGGTCAATCATTTCCCTGTTGTAGTAAAGTTTTGCCTTTTTGTAGTTACCTCTAAAAAGGATGTCAGAATTCTATGTACATTCAACTATTTAACTCTATTTAATTATTGCCCCATCTCTTATTTTATTTTAAATTTTCATAAAAATAGAAATACCATAAAATAGCTAGTATTATTACTTACTGTTATAAATAAACATATGATTAAATAGAAGGATATAGATGTATCTATTTCTATTGAAATCAATTAAATATTTGTTATGTAAGATTATATTTATTTTTACATTATGTAATATCAACACAACACAATAACAACAATACTATATTTATATTATGTTAACATAGTTCGTCTAGTGTGACTTGTCCGTCGGACTTAGTTTGCTGGGTATTAAGTTCGATCGAAAGTTTATCCAGTGCGCACTTTCGAATAGGAGCTGCGGATTCTCACGTAGTAATAATAATAATAATAATAATAATAATAATAATAATAATAAATTATTAATTATTATTATTATTAAAATGAAAGGCATATACAATACAAACATAACCTAATTTGTTTAAAATATTGAATAAAGTACAATATTAAACAATAGTTTATTTCCCACCTCCAAACTGATCTTAGCCACTAGTTATTACCAATATTTAATTAAATAGAATTTACATATATTATAATTATTTATACACTTTAATTTATTAGCAAAATGGTCTTAACCTTTTATTATTTTAACATTTAGTTTTTTATTATAAAATACAACTTTGTAATTTCTCATGGAAAGACATTTTTTTAATTAATTTCTCAACTCATTAATCAAGATTCAAATTTAAAAACAAACCCTCTATTTTGACTACTTAATTTACAATAAATTGAACATTTGTTTTTATTTTTGAATGTTTTTAATACTTTAAAAGTAGTAATTTTTTAATTATTATATACTGAAAATAACATTAAATATAAAATTTATGTAGAATAAGAATGTATTGAAAATAATTTCCTTTTATTTTAAAGAATTAAGAAATGAGTGTTTTGTTTTTGTGATAGTAATATAAAATATAATATTTTGTGTTAAATTGTTAAATTTTTTGTGAGTAAATAATACTCATTCAGTTTCATTTACCGTATCCATCTTTCAATTTTAATCTGTCTCACTTATTCTGTTATTTTTTTAAAAAGTATTATAAACTTTAATCTCATTTAAAAAAAATAATTTATTTTTAAAATTTCAATTATACTAATTAATTATCTTAAGATTAATTTAAAATTAATTTTTATTAAATAATAATTAATTTATCTAATATATTTTTAATTATTTTTTAATTATATTTTTCTTAAATTTTTGTGTGAAAAATCATATATGGGACAAAAGGGAATATATATATATTATGGTAATTTGTATGTAAATTATATATTTTCTAAATAATATTTATAAATAATTATTCCAATAAAAAATTAAGTGTACAAACTTTGAAAAATAAAATTAAGAAAGTTAAAAAAAAAGATCCATTTTTAATTTATATTCAGGTAAGCTTTTGTTTGGAAAAGATTGTGTTATGCAAGAAAATAATAATAATAATAATAATAAAGATACCTTTTATTTTATTTAGGCCATATCTAACCATTAGTTTATTTTTCACCGGCTACAACAAAAATGCAATTTCATGTCCAATAATTTTATTTCAATTATAACCTTCAATTTCATTTTAAAAAATATATTATCTATATATTTTTCTTGTATATTATTTTATATAATTTTTTATATTTATAATTTACACTTTAACTTTAATTTATTTTTTGTTATAATCCAAATATATGTAATTTATATAATTTCACTTTCAAAATAATAAAATTATATCATTTTTTTAAAAAATTACATATTATTTTTTTAAAAAATTATATATCACTTTTCAAAAAGTAAAATTATATATCATTTTTAAATAAATAAAATAATAAATTATAACTTTCCAAAAAATAAAATTACATATCATTTTTAAATAAATAAAATTATAAATTATAACTTTCCAAAAAATAAAATTACATATCATTTTTAAAAAATAAAATTATATACTCCCTCAATCCCATAAATATAGTTTCAATTGAGTTGGACACGTGATTTAAGAAATATTGATATTATGGTAGTGGGTAAAAAGTATGAATAAAAGATTTTTTTGCCCTTTAAGTGTATTAGTGTTTAGTGACAATTGTGTTATAAAAATGAAAAAGTAGAGGTAATTTTATAGTAATATGATTATTTATGAAAATAAGACTGTTATTTTGGGATGAATAAAAATGATAAATAAGAATATTGTATCGAGACAAAAGAAATATTATTTTTCAACAAAATAAAATTACATATGACAATGGAGGGTTGGATGGATTTGGGGTTGGGTTGGAGCCCAATCCCTTCGGTATATTTTCTTGATATTTTTTATTATGTTTATCTTGTAAATTTTACTTTCCCATTTTTTTTTAATTATACTTAACTATTTGAACACAATTTTTAATATAATATGCATCTCTTTTATAGTAAAATTATAAAAAATAATATATTTTAAATAAATATGAAAATTAGAATATTGTTAAAAGAAAAAAAAAAGTAAAATTTAAAACCCACATAGAATATATTTATTGGATAATATTTCTAAAAACTTAAAAATCTAAGATTAAGCGAATACATTCTTAAAGCTTTACTATATGCCTCTAGAGATTTTTAAAACTTTTAATATTGTTACATTGTTTTAATTTAAAATACTATTTTTATTATTTTTGTATTTTTTATTCAAAAAACTATATATTTTTTATATTTTAATAAAAATAATTATATATTAATATCAAATTATTTTTAATTTATATTAAATATATAATTAATTTATACATAAAATTTAAAAATAGAAATATAATTTTTTTTACATATTTTAATTAAGTAATAAAATATTATTATTATTTTTTAATTTATTATAAATTTTTTAAAAAAAATACTTTAAAGTAGGAAGATGGAGTAATTTTTAAAAACATTATATGAAACCTCCCAACGTTAAAAACGGAAAATAAAAAAATCATCTTCTCATCATAAAAGAATGATTTACGTCGAGTTTCGAAGTCACAGACGAATTACGGACAATTTTGCTTTTTTCTTCTATTACAAAACTTCTTAGAGGAAAAGTGTGCTCTGTTTGTCAAAAATACCCAAAATATTTTATTAAAAAAAATTAATATATTATACACCCAAAATTCTCTATTTTTTTTGTAAATTTATTAATCTTAAACCCAATTAATAAATAATTATCCGTTTAAGTAAATAGTATTGTTAATGAATATTTTATTATTGGACGGAAAAAGTATAAATCAATTCAATTAAATTTATAATTTCTTACACGATTCAGTCAAAACTCATTTATTTATATTTTTTTTCTCAAATAACAAATATTTTTATTTATTTTTAAAACTCTCAGTGTTTTTATAAACTAATTCGTAGTAATTATAAATAAATATATATTTATTATATAAAAATTTTAAACACATATTTTTAATTTTTTAAAAGTATTTTAATAAATATTTTAATTTTTTTTATCAATGTACAATATATTTCTATACATTGGATTATTAAATAATTAATTTTTACTGTCTAAATAACTAATTTATAATAATTTAAAAATTGTAAAATAATTGTTAAAATAAAAATAAAAGACCTGATAAGAAGCCACACAATAAATGTTTAGGTAAAAAAAAAAAAATTAAAAGAAGACTTGATAAGAACCCACACAATAAATGTTCGGTAAAAATAAAAGTCTACCGCACATAATTGACAGCTGTAATTATGTTCATGCAACTAGAATACAAATTTTTACAAGGACCAGGTGACGTGTACGTGGGCCCACAATGGTTTGCTAAAACTGAGTCAGCAACGTTGGATCCACGTGTCCTAATAGACAGTTATCCGACACATGCAATTAACAGGAAGTCTTACGCCAAAATACGTATATATCCATTAAGGCCATTGCTTACTTTCACGAGGCCCCAGGACTCGAACGCCCGAACATATACCTTATGTAAAGAAACGCGTGAACAGAACACGAGGTCCCGGACCTCCGTACATACCCTGTCGAGAGCACCCGGCGCTCTATAAATACCGGCGCATATCGCCGATATTTTTGCCTCATTATTTCGTTATCAATTTTCTCTTCGAATTCCTCTTCGCGAAGCTTCCGAAATCCGAAAACTTCTCGTCGATTTCTTCGCGGATTTTGCTGTTGCAGGGGATTTTCTACTGGATTAGTGATCGGAAGTTTGGAATCGAGCCTGAGATTTGAAGAAGATGAAGGAGAGCAAGGGGAATCCGCTGCACTTATCGTCGCTCAATCACATCTCGTTGATCTGCAAATCTGTGGAAGAGTCTAGCGATTTCTACCAGAACGTTCTAGGCTTCATCCCTGTCCGGCGACCTGGATCGCTAAAATTCGACGGAGCATGGTGAGCGCGCGCGACGAACTATTACTAACTGTAATTGCGATTTCCGATTAGGAGTAGAAATTGTTGATATGCTGTGGTTGCAATTGTTCGCAGGCTGTTTGGACACGGAATCGGAATTCATCTGCTGCAATCGGAGGATCCGGAGAATATGCCGAAGAAATCAGCGATTAATCCGAAGGACAATCACATTTCATTCCAGGTAAGTAGGTAACTGCAATTTCTCTGATTCCGATCCGTGTTTGGTGAAATTTGATTTGTTGTTGATGGATTGGCGGAATGTGGCGGTTACAGTGCGAGAGCATGGGGATGGTGGAGAAGAAACTGACGGAAATGGGGATTGATTGGGTGCGGCAGCGCGTGGAGGAAGGCGGAATCTTTGTGGACCAGCTGTTCTTCCATGATCCGGACGGTTTCATGATCGAAATCTGCAACTGCGACAACATGCCGGTTGTACCTTTGGCTGGGGAGATGGTACGCCCCTGTTCTCGACTCAACCAGCTCAAACAGTCTCCACAGACGTCGCAGATCCAACGGCTCCCTGTCGTCCAGCCCTAGTAGCCGTCCGATTCGCTCCGGCTCGGCTCGACTTGAGCGGCTCACGCCGCGTTTTCTCTTCCTTATCGTCTTCTTTTGTCGTGTTTGTGTAGTACTCTAATGTAATAAGAAGCTAAGGCCGTGTTTGGCTCAGCAATTTCGGAAAAAATTAGATTTTTTTTTCTTTTCCATGTTATACTCTCCCCCATCCCTTAACCCTCTATTAATTTTTTTCAGTTCGTCCCATTTTTACTAATTGTATTATCTATATATAATATATATAATTATTTTTTTAACATACAATATATTACACAAATGTTATTATTTTTATGTTATACAATACGAATAAAGGTAATCTAATTCTTTTTTACTTTTATTTCTATTAGATTCCAATATAATACTAATATTCCTTAAACTTGAGGAAGTATGTCCCTTAAAAAATTATCACTTTTTTACCTATAAGATTTTTTATTTTGGTCTATTATTCATTTTTTTCTTAATAAATATATTATTTATTTAACATTTCAAATATTTTTATAATTTATAATAAATTACACAAATATCATTATAGTTATTTTTATTTTATTCAACTATATATTAATATACATAAACTATATCTAATTAAGGGACCAAGTAAATATATATATATATATATTTGAAGAGTTGATTAGAAGTTTTTGGATAATTGAAAATTATGTCCGTGACCGAATTGAATTTGTGACGAAATTTTAAGGTTTTACGTAAAAAAATAAAAATAAATTGAATGAGATATTTATTTCCTAGTTGGTGAAATAATTTGGAACTAGAGTTTTGTGCATGAAAAATGCTTCTGAAGAGAATGGTCCAAATGAAAGTGACATTTACACAACTTGTGACGGTCAATTATTGAATTTAATTATAAAAAATTGTTGGTGGGAAAAAATATAAATAAATGTTTCATTATTAATTAGGTTTGCGTATGCGGAGAAAAGGAAAATTTTGAATTAAATTCTTTTAGATTTTTTTAATATAATAAAAGGAAATTTTAAATAATGTAAGTAATATAAATTTGAAATATAGATAAATACAAAAATATATTATAATCTTTATTTCAGTTTTTTTTTTTTGGTTTTTTTTAAAGTCTTTTTCTATAACAATAGAAAAGTTTAAATTACTATTCAAAGTAAGAGTGCGTTCCAAAAAAAAAATCTATAAAATAAAAAAAAAATCAATATATTGTTTAAATTGATATTATAAAAATACTCCCTCCGTTCTACGTATCGTCTCTGCTACACTGTAGACACGGTATTTTAAGAGGGGTATAATTAGTAAATAATTAAAAATATATTAATGAAAATAATTATCCTATAATATAAATAATTATAAATTAAAATTAAGATAACTAATTAGTTTAATTAAAATTATAAAAAATAAATTAAAAAGTTTAAAATGAAATCAAAGTGTACAATCATTTTCCAAAAAAGAAAAGTGATACGATATATGAGTATATGAGACGGACAGAAACGACAACGTGGACATGATATGTGGACGAAAAGAGTATAATATATTCATATATTCAGATAAACAAATAATATATATATTCTATATACTACAAATAGGAAACATATACATAGGAAAAAAAAAGTATCAACTAAACACAATATTAAATATATATATATACTCCCCCAGTCAATATTTTTTTTTTCTCAAGTATATTTATACGATTTTTTAGATAATTATTTTTTTTCTATGAATTAAAAAATTTATCATTATTGTAAAGTAAAAATTAAAAATAAAAAAAAAATAAATGATAAAATATATATATATATATATATAATATAAAGACAATAGTTGTTAAATACTGCAACTAGAAAAATAAGAAATTAATTGGTGGAGACTGTGAGTATATAATTTCTTGTATGTTTTGGATGCCAAAAGTAGATTAGTTGTTGTATCACTTCAAAACCACTTCTAAAAACTTTCAAGGCCATAATTAGGCTTTTGTTGTCTATGTTTGTATTTTTTTCCATTTTCACTAATTTGATATATTATTTATTTTTCAGAAAAAAAATACGTTAAATATTTTTTTATTTTTTCGTAAAATATCACATTAAATATTAATTTTTTATTTTCTTTAAATTTTTAAAATTTCAAAATTTTCTATCTAAATAACTACTTAGATTTTGGAAATATGTTTGAATAAAAAATTGAATGCAATATTTTATTAAATGCTCTCAGTTTAGATTTCAATGTATATTTGTTTGGGTGTTTAAATTTTGCGTTGAGATTTAAATAATAAAAAATTTGAATTTAAATAATTGTATGATATAATATAAATAGGTATTGATGTGATATTTTAAATGTAAAATTAATTTTTAAAATAATATAAAAAAAATACGTGTTTAATTTAACTTTTTTAGGAAAAAAATTGGATGAATAGTTAAAATCTTTACATATCCTCCAAACAAACACACCACAACTATTAGTTAATGTAAATGTGTAATAGATTTTGACATTTTTGTCATTTGACTTGTATAGAGTAATTGTACGTGTAATGATATATTTGCAATTTAAGTAAAAGTTAAAAATATTTTTATATTAATGTATAATTATTTTTACTAAAATAAAAAATAAATACTTTTAAGTATAACAAACGAAAATAATAGTATTTTAATGGTAATAGTCAATTAAAAGTAGTGTAAAAAACATTGTCTTTATCTTTTAGTGTAAAAATAATAATGCGATTCTAAATTAAGGATTTTTATAGAAAAAAAAAAGAAATTCATTGTTACTGAAGAGGAAGATGGTCCAAATAGAAGTATGTATATATATACAAAAAAAATTGTATTAATTTTATAAACACAAAATTTGTATAAATTACATTTAATTGAAGATAAAATATATTATTTAATTGACCATACCATGAACTGAAGTTACGTTATCTCTCCGTCCAAATACAATATTCTTATTTATCATTTTTTATCTGTCCCAAAACAATAGTTTTATTTTTATAAATAACTATGTCACCATAGAACTACTCTTACATTTTCATTTTTATTTACACAATTATCACTACCTTTTACACTAATACATTCACAATGACAAAAAATTTTTTTATCCATATTTTTTACCCACTACCAATATAATATTAATATTTCTTAAATCCCGTGCACAATCCAATTAAAATTATATTTATGGAACTGAGGAATAGGTAAGATATGTTGTTTTGTTAATAGTGAACGACATCTATTGCTATTTAATTATTAAAAAAAATAAATAATAATTGTTTACTTGCCATACTAAATTATTGTATCAAAGTATTTTTATATTTATACATTCATATATATATATATATAGCTACTCATTCCATTTTCGATAGAGTCCAGATTAATGTAAATACAAAAATTTAAAATGATTATAATTAGTAATAAAAAGTGTAAAATAACTGTAGCATAATACAACTAGATTAAGATAAAAAAATAATAATTAAATAATTTAATTAAGATTAAAAAATTTATATATTATAAAATTTAAAATTTGATTAAAATATATAATTATTTAAAAATACAAAATTATGCGAGACAATTCAAAATAAAAATACTGAATATTTTATGTTGGACTGAAACAATATATAATAATCTTATTTTAAAATAATTATTCTTTTATTAATAAAATAATAAAATAATTCTTTTATGTATTAATTATAGTAATAGATGGGCGCTATAATTGCTTATAAAAAATAAAATAATAATAATAATAATAATAATAATAATAATAATAATAATAAAAGAATTAAAAAATAATAAAATATAGTAGTACTACTATGAAAATGGATCAATTTTTTTGGCGCTGGCACTTTAAATTCGTAACATAGTTGCAATAAAATAATAATAATAATAATAATAATAATCAAGAAGTAAATATTAAAAAAAATATCTCAATGTCGTTATCCACCACCAATTATGACTCATATCCTAGTCATTTTTTTGGGTTCCTTATGTTTGTATTCTAATTAAATTTTTTTATTATTCATTAAATTATTAATAAAAATATATTATTTTTTTTTAAAAAAATATTATTAGAAAAACTCGTACAAATACAAACTAAACAAATTTGTTCTCCAAATACCTAAAAATGAAACACCGAATGCGAAATGGCAATGGAAAAATAAAATAAAACATGGAAGGACCTTCTCTTAATGTTTGATTTTATTTACTCCAATTCTCAATAAAAACATAGTATTATTTTTATTTCATAAGATATTGTATTTAAAATATTATTTAAATAATAAAAAAAAACATATTATAAACGAATATATTTAAAGTTACATACTTTAGTTGTCTGCAATGAATTGGGACGTCCATTCTTTCTTGATGGACGGTCTGATCGACATACGTACATCGGGTCACGAATTCGCTGTTGTCTGCCGGGGCAGATATCGACAATGATCATTTCGCAGGTTCAATTATAAAATCCTTGTTACGAGTTCTCTTTTCTCTAAACAATAATTCTTACTAGACTTCTCGCGTTGACTCGGGTTCGTCGACTACCGTGTGCGAATCATCGCTCACAATATACGGCTGGACGACGGGTCCGTGAACGGCGGACAAGGTCGTCGTTCACAATTTTTGGACGCGACGTGCATTGCAGGAAATCCATTTTTGTTGCCTACATATTCGCGAAAATCCGCGCAGGAGTTTTTTGGGGCACCCACTCTGTCTCGATGGACGGCCTCATCGGCATTCGTATGTTGGGTCATGAATTCGTTGTTGTCTGCCGGGGCAGACATCGACAATGATCCTTTCGCAGGTTCAACCATAGAATCCTTGTTACGAGTTCTCTTTTCTCTAAACGATAATTCTTACTGGATTTCTCGCGTTGACGTGGGTTCGTCGGCGCCCGTGCGCGAATCCCCGTTCGTAATATACGGATGGACGACGGGTCTGTGAACGTCGGACAAGGTCGTCGTTCGTGATTTTGGCCGCGACGTGTATCGCAGGAAATCCATTTTTGATGCCTATATATTCGCGAAAATCGGCGCAGGAGTTTTTTGGGGCGCCCACTCTGTCTTGATGGACGGCCTGACCGGCATTCGTACGTCGGGTCACGAATTCGCTGTTGTCTGCCGGGGCAGACATCGACAATGATCCTTTCGAAGGTTCAACTATAGAATCCTTGTCACGAGATCTGTTTTTCTCCAAACGATAATTCT